TATATGTGCGAAAACCCGTATATGTTTGCATGTACATCATTTCTCATAACGAATTGTTATACATCCAGGAATACAAAGCTTAAACCACTGCGATTGTATACATTTGAAAACACTATCTATATATATTTTTGTGTGCATCACTTCATGGGAACGATTGTGTACATGAAGGCGTATATAGTGAAATCATGGTGATTGTATATATTTGAAAGAATCATAAGTATATATTTGCCTGTATTTCATTCCTATTAACTGATTGTGTACATGAAGGAGTATTAAACTGGAAACCACTGGGATTGTAGATACTTGAAAGAATCATAGGGATATATTAGCGTGTATTTCATTTGTAGTCTCTTTGTACTTGAAGCAGTATACTAAACTGAAACCAGTGTAATTGTATGTTGCAAAGAATTGTCAATAAAGTGAAACTGAAAAAGTATAATAAACATTTGAGGTGTTGCATGTGTAGTGTACGTATACGTGAACGTATATCTGGTGAAAAAGTTGTGTGGCAGAAGAAAAGTTTATGTTTTATTTGCCTATTAAATAAACGCAATATGCAAGGGCAGCAAGGCTTCATTTTCTGTAACGCGCATTATGCATATACTGTGAAGTATATATAGATCCAGCACAAGTTCATACACAATTGTACGCATTTATATTTTAGCCCACACGCAATGAATGGAGCTCGACAGGGGGTGCACCATCGATAATCAGGACCACTTTCTTCAAGTAGTGTGTAATCAGTGCATGCTGATATCTATTAGTGCAGTCTAAAAGAATACTGCCACCCCTGCCATGGGCACTCAACACCCTTGTGCACCCTTCTCGCACCCTCCTCAGAGGGTGCTAAAAAAGTGATGGACATCGAAGGCACCCTTCCTTAAGGGTGTTTTTGTAACACCCTACAGTTTTTTTACATGTACACCCTATTCTAAGGGTGCATGGTAAAGCACCCTTTTTGGAAGGTGCTGAATTAACACCCTTAGGGTGTCGTCCACGGGACAAGCTCATTTACACCCTTCTGGGTGTAAAAATTTTTACTGTGTACGGCCCCTTTGAAAGTCGCTAAAGTCCTTAATTTTTTATTAAAAATTCAAGTTGCTCGGATAGATTCTGTGAGAAATGAAGGGAAGTAGAAGTGGACGGCTCTGCACCTGAGCGCGCCATAATAATATGCGGTCAATAATGACGACATTGTGCGTTAGAGTTTAATTAAAGGATAAAGTGCCAGCATTGCGCCATTTCTTGTGGTGTCTTGTTTTAGTTAGGTTAGTTCAACTGTTATTGAAGTAGAAGTAAAACTTTTTGGTAAAGCTAGAATCAATATGGAGGTTTTTCTAGACTATGTTGCGCTAAATGAAACCGCCGTGCATTCGCGTCAGTAAACAGTTGGTCATCAGGATAGTAAGCCACTGTACATCCTCGTGCAGTGTGAGGCCCACGGGACGGCTTTGCGCTCTCCCATTGTAGAGTACCAAGTACTCTAAATTGTTAACAAATTTTTCTAAGCACAAAACGGGACGGCTCTTCCATAGTAGAGTACTCAGCACTCTAAATCGTTAAACCCTTTTTTAACACATAAATAGGTGTACGGGACGGCCTTCAGCTCTCCCATAATAAAGTATGAAGTGCTCTAAATTTATTTATTTATTCATTTATTTATTCATGTTACCCTACAGGCCCCAGAGGAGCATTGAGTAGAGGGGGGGGTTACAGAAAAATCACAATACATAAAGCATAAAAAGAAATATATCGAAGAAAACAAAGAAAATTGCACAATGGAAGGGAGAAGAACAAACACTATAAGCAAATGCAGCAAAAAAAGAAATGAAAAAAAGGAAAGAATCTTTATACAAAATCAAGAGAAAATATAAATTTGCAGTAGCTCGCGAAATTTGGCCGGATCTCTCACAGAAACAATTTCATCCGGAAGGCTATTCCAAACTGCGATGGCGCGTGGCAATGCAGAATTATTGAATGACTGTGTGTTACCGAAGATGCGTCTGAAACTGAGATGATTATGAAGTCGACTAGATGTACGCGAAGGAATGTCAATTGTAGTAGTACTTATGGAGGAGGCATAGACGGGTGACAGAGTGGCGGGAATCCAAGTTAGTAAGGGCAATATCGCGTTTGATTTGGGTGATGCTGGAGTGGCGGTTATACATTGAAGTGATGAAGTGGGCTGCACGATTTTGGATGGATTCCACTTTATCTATTAGGAATTGTTGATGCGGAGACCAGATCGATGAAGCGTATTCCAGCTGAGTACGTACAAACGTTTGGTAGGCCTGCTGCCGAATGGTAGATGGGGAATGATGCAGATTCCGGCGCAAGAATCCCAGAGTTCTGTTTGCTTTCGCGCATATCTTGTCGATGTGAGTACACCAGGCAAGATTAGTACAAAGATGGACACCAAGGTATTTGTATGTAGATGAACGGGGAATTACAGCTGAACAGATAGAGTAAGAAAAGTTAAAAACCGATTTCTTATGGGGAAAGAAAGTACGCAGCACTTAGATGTGTTAAGCGTCATTTGCCAACGGTCACACCACTGATTTATTAAGTCGAGGTCCTTTTGTAAATGTACGTGGTCTTCTTCAGAGTTAATGGTTCTGTACACTACGCATGCATCCGCGAAAAGACGAATTGAGGAAGAAATGTTACAAGGCAAATCATTAATATAAATCGGAAAAAGAAGAGGGCCTAATACACTGCCCTGGGGCACACCAGATGAGACAAATGAAGCAGACGAGCTGAAGTTATTGACAAATGTAAACTGCTGTCGATTTGACAAAAAAATTTTAAGCCAAGATAATGTTGATGAGTCAAGTTTAAGTGCAGACAGCTTAGCTATTAGGCGACAATGGGCAACTCTGTCAAATGCTTTTGCATAGTTTAAAAAGATGCAGTCAACAGTTTTATTACTATTCATGCCGTTATGTAAATCAGACGTAAATTCTAATAGCTGAGTATCACAAGATAACGCTTTCCGAAAACCATGCTGATTTAGAAAGAAGAAGTTATTTGACTCAAGATGGCTGTATATATGAGAGGTGATGATGTGTTCAAGCAGCTTGCAACAGATGCATGTTAGCGAAATGGGGCGGTAGTTACCGGGTGTGTGTTTGTTACCATCCTTGAATATCGGAATAACCTTTGCTATTTTCCAGTCAGTGGGAAGTTGACCAGAAGATAAAGACTTAAAAAATGTGGCATAAAATTTGACTGGAGGAAGCGGATGTGTTTTTAAGTACCTTGGAATTAATATTGTCAACACCACACGATGTAGACAGTCTTAGACCGTGTATAAGTTTAGATATGCCTTCAACAGTAACAATGATAGGAGACATGAAGCAGTACTCACGATCGGGGACACAGGGAACCGAAGAAAAGTCTTCATTAGTAAAAACCGAGCAAAAAAACGAATTGAAGGTTGAAGCACACTCAGATGCAGAGACAGGAACATTATCGGCGTTATGTAATGTAAAAATGTCACTGCCACGGTCAGGCAAAATGGCACGCCAAAACGTTTTAGGGTTAGTCAGTAAAAGTGAAGACAGGTCGGCGGAAAAATATTTCTTTTTCGCTTCGCTAATCGCAAGACAATAAGATTTTAAACAGTTTTTATACATAGACCATGACTTAGAAGATGATAACCTTTTAGCTGAAGCATATAACCTTTTCTTTTTATTTCTGAGCAATCTAAGCGATTTATTAAACCAAGGGTTGGATTTGTCGTTAGAGATTGTTATTAGTGGAACATATTTATCTATGAGGAGCGCTATAATGTTTTTAAAGGAATTCCAGTTATCCTGAACAGACCTGTTGGTGAATGAGGGAAGAAATGTATTGTGTAGGAAGACATCAAGTTCAGAGTTCATTAGATCGTAATTTGCCTGGCTATAATCCCCGATTACCTTGCGCTGAACACCCAGAAATTTTAGTGGAATATTAATTGAAAACTGTAGAAAGTTGTGATCGCTAAAACACTCTAATTGCACAATTCTACCTATGGTATGTGGCTCTGTTGTCAGAATAAGGTCCAAAATATTAGTATCGCGAGTGGGCTCTGAGACAAGCTGGGTGAAATTAAAGTCAAGACATAGTTCGATGAATTCACTTGACGTACTGTTCGAAGAAGACGTGCGAGACCAATTAATATCAGGAAAATTAAAATCACCGAATAAGTAAATTTTTCTGGTGGGAAACAGGTCAAGAGCCCTGGAAATACTTCTGTGAAGCTCAGACACGAAAAGGCAGTCAGAGGACGGAGGGTGATAGCATACGCCCATCAATAATTTTCCAGCTAAGGTAGGACAGGTGACCCAGACTATATCGAGGGGAGTGTCAGTATTGACAAGGAAGGAAGATATAGTTCGTTTGATAGCTAACAGCACGCCACCACCCCTTTTATGTGCCCGCTCATGGCGATAAATGGAGTACTGATTTGAAGCATGATATAGCTCAGTGTCGCATACGTCAGCGTGAAGCCAAGTCTCGGTTAGCAATAGAATATCTGATTTACTGTCCTCGAGATATGAATCAAGCAAGACACGTTTCGGTAACAAACTGCGAATATTAGTAAAAGATACTGAAAGTGAAGGAGAACATGAAGTAGACGGCTGCTGAACATTACCACTGCGTACATCGGCAACTAGCTATCTAGCGGTTACTACGGTGTCAGAACAAGTGTCATAGATATATGTAGTATTATCGATACGAAGTTTGTCGACATTTAGTTTGAAAGGACAATTCCGTTCCCTAGAAAACTGAAGCAGTTTCCTGCGCGCTTGCCGTGTTGCTTGCGAAAAATCTTCTCTAATAGAGAAGCGAGTATTTTTCAGCCGATGTGCACCGGCGAGGATTGCTTGTTTGTCCTTAAAAAACGTAAACTTAGCAATTATCGGCCTACATTTGTTTGAAGCAAATTTACCCAGCCGGTGTACACGTTCATATTGAGAACTGGTAGTGGTGATCGCTAACTTCTCTGAGCATACGGCGATAATTTTATTTTCAGAAGTTTCCCAGCTCTCTTTGTGCTCATCGGGAATTCCAAAAAACAACAAGTTGCACCGTCGCATTCTATTTTCTGCTTCATCACACCTTGATACTACTGCTTGAAGCTGATCAGAAATAGAACCAATAGCACCATCAGCAAAGTTGGATGACGGAGGGGCATTAGAAACCAGCTTTGCTTCCAGAGTGACCACTCTCATGGTCAAGCTTTTGATTTCTTTATCAGTAGCATCCTGTTTTTCTTTTAGCCCCTTAATTTCACCAATTATTGTATTCTGACCCGCTTCCAGCCTACGCACTGTATCAAGAACAATTGCGAGTGTTTCCTCGACGCCAGGGCCGGGATTAGATTCAATGTCACCTGAAAGCAACAACAACAACGATGCAAACTTCCGGCGCAAACATGAAAGAAACAGCAATGTACGGAACATCTTATCACGCAAGTCAGGAGGGCACGACACCGCAACAAGGCAGTAATTGCTACTTTTTAAACAGGAAGTATCTCTGAAGTAACCAACCTGAAAATACAGCAGCGGTAAGCGTCCCATCCCTTCAACGGTGTCGTGCCCAACCGAACTGGAGCTTGGCTGGCTTATATATCCTACGTCATGGCTTGCGAGAGCATCTGGGAGTGAACCATGTTGCCAGCTGCCAGTAACCGAGGGAACCAAACGTGGCCAACTTTGCACTTTCGGAAACGGAATTGCCTGATCAAGGCAGCGCGGCCAATGTTCGAGAACCCTCGAAGGCAGGTCACCGAGGAACGTAACCGAGGTGTTGTCTGGCAGGCCGCTGTATCCGGAGTCATATTCTGCGATGGCGTTCACGAGAGAACCGTGTCGCGGGCCGCCGGTAGCCGAAGGAACCAGCTCTGACCATCCCTGCACGCTTAGAAGCGGGAGCGGAACTTCATGGCCAAGACTGCACGGCCACCGTACGAGAAGCCACGTCGAACAAGCGCTGAGGAACGCAACCTGAAAATACAGCAGCGGTAAGCGTCCCATCCCTTCAACGGTGTCGTGCCCCTTGTTATTGTTAACTACGTTTTGTAAAAACTAATGACCACCCACGGTACGGCTTTCAGCTCTCCCATATAAAGTACCTTACTAGGTACTTTATGGAAACGAAGGGGACTGGCCCGTCTGAGGGGACGCCCCCAGAGAGCCATGTTTCCCCTACTACATCGGCTAAGAAGCATAATGCTTATGCAACTTAACACAAAACTAGTCATGCTGGGAGAGGAGGCTTTCCTCCGACGTTGGTCTACACGATTTATTATCGTAAAAAACAACAGTGTCCATGCCTTTCCTCCCCTATTGAGGAGGTGGGCTAGAGCTTGTACCACTGTGACATTACATTGTGTATTTTTCTTTTCTTCTTTAGAAACATGTCCTTTTGTGCAGTATTGTTCTTGAGCGCGAGAGCAAATTATCCTCACAGGTGAATGCAAAACATCACCCTTCACTGTGAATGACCTCCCCTTGTTTGTTCATATAGCCTACTATTTATTTAAGTTTAATCATCTCGATGGCAAGAATATCCTGTCTTTGTTGAACAATTTTTGCATTGTACGTCACTGCATACACTATAAGTTCTTTCACTGTATAACAGCTTGCATTGTACATACGCATTGTTCACCATTGTCCATTTTTATGTGTGCACATAGGCTGTGTATGATATATCTGGAAATAAAATTATCTTAAACCACAGGACACGTAGAGTATCAAGTATTCTAAATTAACTACTTTTTGTAAACACACTAATCACCACCAACGGGACGGCTTTCAGCTCTCCCATAGTAAAGTACCTAGTACCAGGCCCCGGAAACTCTCAAGTTCAAGTGATCACCTGTAGGGGCGAAAGAATCAACCGCGGCGTAAAGTCCCTGAAAAATAAACTAAAGTAGCGCCATTCGTGTCAATGTGCAGACTCCTCTCCCCTCGCGTGCATTGCAGATAGTAAACGACGCTAGTTGAGGGGCTGTATGGCTCTTGGCCGCAAAGATGAGCTTGTGCTCATGTTTCCGTTAAAGCGCATCTGGGCGCTGCGGTTGTAGGCGATGCACCGAAAGAGTGATTGAGAAAGAAAAAATATATAAAAAGTAACGTTAAATACGACGATGTGACGTGTATATAAGCAAGTGGCATGCAGTGGCAAAAGACATCACCGCAAGCACGCAATACTCAACGCGATAGCCCACCGTTTGCATGCAGACGCGCTCAGCGGTGACGCTCTCGATGGCAGCGCCACTGCTGTCTGTGCAATAAACTCGGCGGTGCTAAGAATCTGCAGCATGACGCACTAGCCTTTGTGAAGGTATCGCAAACGCCATTTTGTTTGTCCACTTTCGCGGTGTTTGTTTGTGGCTAGGCGTGCGCGCTTGGTATTGTTGTGTAGCTGTAGTTCGACCGCGCGTGAGTGTGTGCACGGTAATCCTGCACGTTTCGGGATGCCGACCTGCTGTGTCAGCGGTTGCAAAAGCAGGTACAGCAGAGCAAAGAAGCTATTTTCGCTTCCGCGAGGAAAAGACAATGCCGCTCGGCAAGAAGTGTGGCTCCAGCGTATCGGAAAAACTAACTTGGACCCTGTATCGTCGCGGCTTTGTGAGGTGAGTACCGGTGAGCTGAACTCTATCGTTTCGCTTGTATTCGTGTTTACAGTGTTGCGGTACTGTCAAGGTCGAGCATCACACAAAGAGAGTAACCGCGTCGATGGTAAACGTGCATGCCAGTTGAAACACGTGCCGCGTTTAGTGCCGTGTAAACGTTGCATCTCTGGCTTGATCCATGCCGACCGCGGCGGCTGCATTTTCGATTGAGGCGGAAATGTTGGGGCCTGTGTACTTAGCATTATATGCACGTTATTGAATACCAGGTGGTCGAAATTTCCGTAGCCCTCCAAAAGGGCGTCCCTCATAATCAAATTGTGGTTTTGGAACGTTAAACGCCAGATATTATTATTATTACTCGTTTGATCCAGAAATAATCGTCGACTATGTTACAAAGTAAATGTAATGGATACATTCAAGTGCTAAACTAAACTTTGTTTATTGGCCGACGTATATTTAAATGACTCCCGCGTGTATGGGTGTAAGCCCCGCCGCGGTGGTCTAGTGGCTAAGGTACTCGGCTGCTGACCCGCAGGTCGCGGGTTCGATTCCCGGCTGCGGCGGCTGCATTTCCGATGGAGGCGGAAATGTTATAGGCCCGTGTGCTCAGATTTGGGCGCACGTTAAAGAACCCCAGGTGGTCTAAATTTCCGGAGCCCTCCACTACGGCGTCTCTCATAATCATATGGTGGTTTTGGGACGTTAAACCCCACAAATCAATCAATCGTGTATGGGTGTAAGGACTTTATGTATAAAGGCGTGGGCAGCGACCTGAATGTCGCATCATTTTGTTTAAGCATGTGCTCCAGCACGCTCAGTATTCAGAAGCTCTGTGGTTGAAATAAGGACACGCAAGGCTAAATGGTGCGTATTTTTCTACATACTGTACGCACCGTGTGCTTGTCTGGTGGGAAGAGAATGTGGCAAACAGTGCGTAGTCGTGTACGTGTTGACACTAAAGGTTATTTTAGTTTCTTTTAGAGCGTGCTGTTTCATTGTGTAACAGTAGCCGCGAATATTTCCTTACCTAGGACCACTTCACTGCGGACCAATTCGAGCCGATACTGCTGCGCAAGTTTGGTACTAAAAAGTTGAAGAGAGACGCGGCGCCTACGATCTTCAGTCAAGAGCATTTGCAAACGTCAGGTAAGCCAATCGCGTTAAAAAACTTGAGAATGTTTAGTCCGTCTTCATTGTTTTCTGCATCACCCATAATTACTTCTCAGCCTTTCACTAACCTGAAACATGTCGTCTTGCATATAGGTGCTGTGCACTGTTTGTGTATAGCTAATGGCTTTTCTTTGGTATAATTAATGCATTTTTTTCATTCTCCAGAATGCAATGATTCAGCCCGCTCATCTTGTGGCCTTAATCTACTACTAACAGCAGCTGCTCTTGTTGATGGTGAGTTGACGGTTAAGCACATCTCACGCCTTTTCCCTCTTCGTTATCATTAATACATGTTTGGATTATGCAGAAGCCAAAGAGACACACCGCCCATCAGCTACGAATGTGCTTCTGACACCAGCTGCTGTTAATGGTGAGTTCTTACTGCATTTATTACTTACCGTAATTACAAACGTGCTTTATGCCTTCATTGATGTTTTATAATTTGCAGGCTATGGAGCCAACAGTGATGCTAGTCAAGCAGGGTTGAAGCTATTGTTGCCCTATGATTTTACAGCTTTGCACTTGTTGTTGAGGGCAATTATAAGCTCGTGTGTTTTTATTCCAACTACATCTGGGTTGGCCTCTATTTTAGTGGCTAATTTCGCTCTTCTTCTCTTCAGATAGAGCTGTTGTTACCCTCACTAGTCTATGATTAGGTCCGTGGTTTTGCTGTGCCTATTACATCTGTTTTATTATGTCTTTTACGTGTATGTCCTGTTTCATGCCTACATATCTGCATAATATGTTTTGCCTATCCCCAGTAGGGGCTTTACATGTCTACTTCCCATTCCTGTGCTTTCAAATGTTCAATATGTGTACTTCATTTCATTCGCTAAATTCCAGATGTGGAGTGTTAATCTTGATAAAGGTGTTTGGCACAAATTGCGTCCACTTGTCGCTTGTTGTGAGTGCACTACGAATGCCATCGCTTTTCTTTACTCTTGTCATTGTGATGTGCACATATACAACAAGTCACCGTTAACACATATTTCATGTCATTTATTGTGTACACTGCATAATTATCATGTATGATTGAGGCAGTCCTGCATTTTCATGAAATGTTGAATAAATGTCATGTTTTGTGCCCTTCATTCAGTTTTTGCATAGAATCAACTGTACTTGAACTTTGGTGTTTATCAATAAAGTGACATTATGAAATGGGGTTTCCTAATGAATACCAAACCCTCTTGTTCGCTCGACGTATTGCATGCTATTATGATGGCATATGCATAAACATGTCATGTCATGAACATCCCAAGTATACGTGTGTACTCAATTGCCTTCCCAGACGCAGTCATTCTTATGTATTCATGCCAGGGAAGACCGAGGTGTGATGGATGTTGAGTGGCCTAGAGCCGGTATGTAAGTGTAAAACATTATTCTAAGAGAGGCGTATTCTGCTTAAACAATGGGGACAATCATATGTGCAAAGAAGGAACTTCATGTAACACTGGACACAAACGGTATGGACCTCACCAGAACACAGAGGAGAAACATGCAGATTATCGCACTACCCCAACCTCTGTCCTTGTGAAATGCGAGCTCTTCGTACCTTATAATAATAACCAAGTAGCTTGAGATGCGATATCCTTTATGGAGCAAGCTATGCTTACTCATTTTTATTGATTGTATTTTAACACACCTATTAAAAGAATAAAGGCATGGACGAGAACATAGGTAGAAAATTTCATTGGACACATGCTGGACTAACAACTGCAAGTCTCCAATTGGAATATGTTTTACAGCAATCGCAAATGTTAGTATGGTCGG